TTAGCGTCCATTGTAAGGTTGCGTTCTGTACCCAGGCCGCTACGGAGGCTGCCGTCCTCGGCATACTGTTTGGTATTGCGTCGCGAGGATGGGTATGAGCCATCGCCGTACGTACTACCGCTGCCTGTGAGGTTGTTTGAGGAGGCATCTGGGCTAGTGATGTCAGGGGAATAGCAGGCGTATGCACGATCCCGAAGACGACGGATTTCTCTCAGGCGGTTCTGCCAGGAAGAGATGTATTCGCCGCCGTGGCTACAGACAAGTGAGAAAACAGATGCGTTCAATCCAATGATTCTGACAAAAGCAGCAAGATTCTTCCCACATATGACCTTTGGGATGGCCGCGGCAGACAATTCAGGCATGCCGGGCTTGCTCAAAACTTTGACGGTGTATAGCCTGTGGTTGAAGTCGTTGACATTGAATTTTCCTGCTTGGTCTTCTGAGCCTATTCGGGAGGCTGGTGTGATGACGATATCAACGAAGTTAAACTGCGTTGAGATAGTATTGAAGTCAAACTCGGAACCAGAGCGGTTGAAGATAATGTTCACAAAGTCATTGCCGATGTGCTGCTTCTTGTTTACGCATTGCGGGTCTGCTTCTAGGTTGGTGGGCATCATGGTAGCGATATGGTATACAATCTCAGAGACTCGATCACGCCAAGCATAGATATATTTGCCATCTCTCTCATGATGGAGGCCCTGAGGGTTAAACTTCGGGTTCTCAATGGAAACTTTGGTTCCAAGACTCGCGATAAAGAATTCATAATCGGGGCTGCCGTGGTCGTTGGCGAAAATTTCGGTCTCGTCGGTCTGGCCCTCTCCAATGTACAGGACTCCGATCTTATGACCATCGACAATACTGTTCCTATCAAAGGCGCTAATTGCGCGTCGAGTAAAGTCATCGTCAGGCAATGGCAGTGGCTGTAATGGGAGTGCTGTTGGGAATGCAGAGGCGGTCATCTGCAAGAGAGCATGACTCGGTAGTACCGAAGTTTGAGTCGACGGGTCGTCAGAGAGAGAATATGAGCGGGGATTAGTGGGGATCTGATGGGGCAAGACAGGTGCAGTTCGCTGTTGGAAGATAGAGTATGTTGTCCCAGACGCTTGTCTCTTGGTGACCTGATTTAAACCAGAAGCACATGCTGTTTCGATGGTCACAATACTGGTACCGACAATCCAAGTTCTCTTCACTACTGGACCGTCAGATGGCGAAGGTGGGAAATTTTCGAATGGAATGGTGTCTCCCAAGTCCGAATATGCAACTCGCTGCATCATGTCGATGAACACCTGGCTCTGTTCTTCAATGACTTCTCTACCCTGCTCATCATTGAAGAGTAGCCGTTTTGTTATCCAACCAACATGGTTAGGTCGATCCTGTAACTTAAGAGATAGGAACCAAAAGACCATGACGTGGTATGTCAGGTGGTAGACATATCTGGCAG